AGAGTTGGGGGCCAGGGTGGGGGTTGGAGTGGGGATGGACACTTCTCTGGGAGACGAAATGCATGCAAAACACCCAGAGGTAAGAGGGAGCAGGGTGCAGGCTGGGTATTTGGGAAGCTGCAAGTAATTCAGTACATGTGGAACCAGACATGGTGTGAGGGGGACCGGCCAAAGGTGAGTCTGAAGAGTTCATCATAATAAAGCTGACATACATGTAGAGTGCTTACTTTGTGCCAGGGACTGTCCCCGTGTTTTACGTAACTTGTGTCTTCCAGAACCTCCTGCAGTAGGCACTCCTGTTATTCCCATTGTACAGATGAAGAGTTTCGGGCATAGAGAAGGTTAATAACTTGCCCAAGTCATGTAGCTAAGGAAGGAGTAGGTCTGGGGTGTATACCAGGACCGTGAGCCAAGCTAATGAACTTGGGCTTTCATCTGAGAACACGTGAAAATCTTCAAGGAGGGGAGCGACCTGATCAGAGTGTGCTTTAGAAAGATTCTAGGATGCCAGCATGTTCTCTGATGTCAGTGAGATTGAAATCAAGGATGTTTGGGAGTTAACACTGGGGGATGACGCCAGCAGACATCAGAGCCAGTCCAGGAAGCAAGGGGGCAGCAGCAGGGGATGGAATCAGGGTCATTGCCAGGTTTCCAAGAACTGCGTGGGGAGCTGCCAGGATCCCGGAGGAAAGGGCAGAGGGAGTGAACCCAGCTGCCTCGGCAGAAACAGCCACCAGCTTGCTGGAGACTCTCTGCCCGGCGTCCAGACTGACCTCTCATCTTTTCAGAGTTATCCTCTTGCATTCACCCTAGATCCTCACCCTGCATCCACAAAAGGACTGTAGGAACATTATAATGAATAAGCCTATAATAAAACTGTATTAAAATGTGAATAAGAATAAACACTAAGATCAGAACAAAACATAAATAAGAACAGAAATCAGCCTTGGATGGCAGGGCCAGGGAGAGGGGAGGGTATTGAAACCCAAATGTTCAAGCTGTAAAGTTCTACTGTTGGAAGGAGGGGAGAAAGGGGAGGAGGAAGAGGGGGAGAAGGAGGAGAGGAAGAGAATTAAGAATCTCCTTATAATCAAGAGCTGGAGCCTCCTGATACTGTAGCAGACTTCAGCCAGGCGATTTTCATAAAACAATCCCCTGGAAAGCCATTATGCTTCCAAGATTCCATAATGATGCGGGCATTCAAAAAAATCTCAGGGGGTCCTCTCTGCCTGCTCCAGCCATCAGTCGGACTAATGTGAAATTGATTGCAAAGTTGGCTAGCTCCTGAGAGAACCCTTTCTTTCCTTTTGATCAATCAGCAGCTCACTGAAAACACTAAACTGTGGTAGGGACCACAGGACTTGATCACTGAGCTCTTGTAAAGTATGTTTCTTTAGAATGCATAGAATGAATACAATTTTTTTTCGAATGAAGAAAATGTAGCTCTTCAGCCTTGGCGAGACTAGTTAGAATGTTTCCTCCTTTATTTGCCACAACCCCTTGTCTCCAAAAGCTGCGGCTGCAAAACGAAGTCTCTACCTCTGCGGTTCAGGCAGCATCTCCCTTTGATAAACACGGGGAGAGAGGTAAGAGAGTTTAGAAGGTCTTGTTTCAGAGTAAAAGATCAAAGTGTCGAAATAACAGGTGGTCACTAAAAGAGAAATATTTTTAGAAGGCTTAACTCACTAGAAATAACCGATGCCTTCTTTTTACCTTGCCCTCTCTCTTTTGCAAGCAAGCCTCCTGCTCTATTATTATAATACGGTCCAAGGACCTGGAGTAACTCTGAGGTCTAAGGTAATTCCTTGTTCGGCAGCAGCTGGTGCAGAGGTCACTGGGCTGTCAACCACCGGTGGAAGGGAAGTCCATCACGGTCTCCCAGTGTCCATCTCTATTGAGCTTAATTTAGTTCTAGACAAACAGGCTTGTGTGCACAAAGCACTGCTCTTCTTAGGATTTTTTCCGCCATGATTTGGTGGGTGAAATCATCTCTTGTAATTAGCAGACAGGCGCTCCACAATCTGCACTTAAATTCAGCAAATCATAGAAGGCCGGTTGTTCTTCGAGTCCTTGGTAGAACATACATCTGTGATGTCTTTACACAGTCTTAGGTACTCCACTGGACGGCCACTTTGTTAGCACTTTGCTCTTCTGGCAGAAAATACATTTATTTATTTATTTATTTATTTATTTATTTATTTATTTATTTTAGATTGTATTTACTTATTTATTTATCTTTAGAGAGAGAGAGAAACATCAATGTGTGGTTGCCCCTCGCATGCCCCCCACTGGGGACCTGGCCTGCAACCCAAGCACGTGTCCTCACTGGAAATCGAACCAGCGACCCCTTGCTTCGCAGTCCGGTGCTCAGTCCACTGAACCACACCAGCCAGGACGGGTAGAAAATACATTTAAAGTAAATGGAGCAAATATAACTCTGACTTGAACAATGAAAGTTAACACTGTCCAGTGAATCGCCACATTGATTTTCGTGACAAATACAGGAACATAGTCTTAATTCGGATGGTCCCCAGGACCTGAGACGTCCCCTGGGCTCTGCTCGCTTTCTGCATCATGAAGAAGGACACTGTTCTGTTTTATCAGCCCTTTCTGCCTAAGCTGATGGACCGTCACAACTGACCTCCATCTGATAAAGGGTATCTGTGAAAAACCTACAGCTGGTTCAGAGTAAATGTTCAATAAACATCAACCATGATTACTTTTATACAGAAGTTCTAAGTTAGATGCCACTAAAACTGTCAGCCTCTTTCCTTACGATGCCGTCTTGCTAACTTCCACTCATCTTTCAACATTCGACTCAGACTCACCTTCCTTGAAGACGTCTCTCTGTGCCCCGTGCAACCTGCTCCTCACCCACTGGAGCACACAGCCTCACCACAAACCACTCCCTAGTCTGTCTCTGCTCTCCCCACGGACTTGTAAACTCTAGAGGTAGCGTTTTCCTTCCACTTTGAGCCTTGGCATGCAGAGTGATGCCCAGAACATTTTTTTTAATATTTTATTATTTATTTATCTTTAGAGGGGAAGGGGGGGAAGGAGAGAGGGAGAGAAACATCAATGTATGGTTGCCTTTTGTGCGTCCCCTGCTGGGAACTGGCCTGCAGGGAACCGGCCTGCAACCCAGGCATGTGCCCTGACTGGGAATCGGACCGCGATCATGTGGTTCGCAGGCCCACGCTCAATCCACTGAGCTACACCAGCCAGGGCTGCCCAGAACATTCTTAGCACCCAATATACCTCACTCTCCTTTCCCTTCATCTTCATGGCTCAGCACAAGTTCTACCCCATCCAAGAAGTTTTTCTTGTTTTTTAAAAAATGTTTTAAAAGATTTTATTTATTTATCTTTAGAGGGGAAGGGAAGAAGAGAGGGAGACAAATATCAATGTATCGTTGCCTCCCATGTGTCCCCTGCTGGGAACTGGCCTGCAACCCAGGCATGTGCCCTGACCGGCAATCGAACCTCATACTGTGGTTCATAGGCCCGAGCTCAATCCACTGAGCTACACCAGCAAGGGCAGAAGTTTTTCTTGTCAACTCAACTTCCCACTGTCTCTCCTCACCCCAGCTTTATTGAGATATAATTGACAAATTAAAAATTGTATATATTTAGGGTGCACGGTGTGGCATTTTGATATAAGGACGCCTTAGGTAACGATTACCACAGTCAAGCGAATTAACATATCTGTCACCTCACAAAGCTACCATCCGTGTGTGCGTGCTAGCCCGGTACCACTGGTTTCTATATATTCCAGAAAAATTCCCGTCTCTCATCACCTAGAAGTTTTAGATTAAATATAAGGATGTTTTTAGTGCATATCTAAGCTCAAGGAGGACAGGGAAACCTCAGGAACCAAAAACACAGCACCGGTGCCCTGGCTGGGGGTGGGGAGGATGGGGGTGGGGGTGGGGCTCAGCACGCCAGAGGCAACCAATCGATGTTCGCTCTCTCTCTTTTACCCTCCCTTCCCCCTCTCTAAAATAATAGTAATAATAACAACAACTGCTACTGCGACAATAATGCCATAGGCAGATGCAGCAGATAGAAAGTGTTGAAGGAAGAGTGTTGAAGCTGAGCCTTTGCAAGCAGGTGAGCCGATGCTGTGACTGGCTAGGGAGCGATGCGGCCCTTAGCCCCCGTGAGTGGCAGGTTCCGGGTTCCCAGCCCACAGAGACGCTGGAGCTGAAGCCTTGGACCCACATGAGGCAGGGAGTTGAAAACAAGACCCCACATAAAATTGTGGTCTTTGAAACTCCACCACCACAGCAAAAGAGCAGGAAACTATTCAGTAACTCAGGAAGACAAAGACGCTTTTCTTCATCTTCTGAGTCCCGGGTAAAAGGAAAACTCTCCCCAGAGAAACTGCGGCCTGCAGCCTGCATTGCAAGTGGGTTTAGACTTCAGGTGTGTGGGAGCTGGGTCGTCTGGGAACCTTGAACCAATAAATTAACAGTTTTTTTTTTTTCAAAGCCCGGGATGATGGTATCTCTGGGGAATATGCTGGTGCAGCCACTGTGGGAAAAAGTGTTGAGGTTCCTTAAAAAATTAAAAATAAAACTGTCATGTAACCACTTCTGAGTATTTATCTAAAGAAAACAAAATCACTAACTCAAAAAAAGATACCCGCGTGTTTGTGTTTATTGCAACATTATGTACAATAGCCAGGGCATGAAAGCAAGTTTAGTGTCCGTCCATGGATGAGTAGATTAAAAAAAATGTCACACACACACACAACGGAATATTATTCAGCCATAAAAAGGAAATCCTGTCATTTGCAGCAATACAGATGGATCTTGAGAGCAGGATGCTAAGTGAAATAAGTCGGACAGCAAAAGACAAATACCACAAAAGCCTCACTTTTATATGGAATCTCACTTATATATGGAATCTTAAAAAAAAAGAAAGAAAAAACCCAACAATCTCATAAACACTGAGAAGAGATTGGGGGTTGCCAGAGGCAGAGGGTGGGGGCTGGGCAAAATGGGTGCAGGGGTCAAAAGGTACAAACTTCCAGGTATAAACTAATGAGTCCTGGGGGCTGATACACAGCATGGTGGCCACAGTTAGCAATGCTGTGTTGCATATTTGAGAGTAGCCTAGAGATTAGATCTTAAAAGTTCTCATCACACATGGATAGTGTAGGGTGTTAACTAGACTTATCGTGGTGGTCATTTTGCAATATACACAAATAACAAATCATTATATTGTTGTATACCCAAAACTAATGTAACATGATTTTCCCATTATATCTCAAGAAAATAAATAAGAGGTATACCCAAAATGACACTGGGAAGTTGAAAGCAAAAAATGGGAGATGTGTTGGGTAAAACCAGCGGAAAGCAAGCTCTAGCTGAGCAGCGCCCCCTGCAGTTCCCTCCGCAGGTCCCAGGCCGGTTATACATCAACAGTGCTTGGACGGAGCAGACCCGGGGACGCCCCTTTTCCAGCCTTCCACCTCCCTCCAGCCCCTTTTTCCACTGGCCGCCTTCAGAACCACTTCAGCCATCCTCAGCCTCTGAGCCCGCGGACACTGTTTTTGACCACAGGGTCTCATTGCCAAACACCCAGGAGCGCCCAGGCGCTTCAGAATGACTCCACCCTGGTGGAGGCTGCTAACCACCGCCTGGTCACCCTTCCTCTGGGGGCTTCCCACACCCACCTCTCTCTGGGCTTCTATTTCTCTTGCGACAATGTGGTTCTGGAGGGCGTGGGCCACAGCTTCCGTGAGCTGGCCCAGGAGAAGTGCGAGGGCGCTGAGCACCTGCAGGAAATGCAAAACCAGCGCGGTGGCCTCGTGCTCTTCCAGGAGGCATGGATGCCGGCCCACGGTGAGTGGGATGGAACTCAGGTCGCCATGGAGACCGCCAAGGCCGTGGAGAAGAACCCGACCCAGGCCCTTTTGGAGCTGCGTGCTCTGGGTTCACCTGGCACAGAGCCCCTTCTCGGTGACATCCTGCAGAACCACTTCCTGGAGGAGCAAGTGAAACTCATCAAGTGAAGGGCGACCACCTCTGAGGGCTGGCGGGCCCCAGGCCGGGCTGGGCAACGGTCTCTTCCAAACACTCACCCGCAAGCACGACTCTGAGCCTCAGGAGCCCAGAGGCCTTTGAGGGGTCTCTCGGGGTCCCCCTGGTGTCCTGCTTCTGCCTGAGCCTCTCCCGGCAGCCCTTGAACCACCCTAGAGCCCTTGCCCATGCACTGGACCAAATGCAAACAAACTATAAAGCTTTTTGCAGCAAAAAAAGAGAGAAAGCTAAAGCAGTATTAATATTGGAAATAAAACAGAACTGAAGATGAAAGAGTATTAGGAATAAAGAGTGACAATGTATAATGATAAAAGAGTAATATCCTGGGAAGAAGGACTGTACTGAAAATAGACGTAGCAGCGTGACAAAGACCCAAATAAATAGACTTAACAAGGAAAATGCCAGATTCACATCGAGAAACCAGAAACACCCTGAAGGACCCAAGACAAGACTGGAACAAACAGAAAGGCGTATCGTTATTCAGGGACACCCCAACAGTGCTGCCATCCCCTCAATAAATCTATACATTTAACTTGAAAAAGATGCAAAGGTTTATATATTTTTAGATTTGGTTGTGCGAGGAAGCAAAGTGTTTGCACCTATGCCTCCATCTTGGCGGAAGTCCTTCTGTCCTGGTTTATATTTTTGTTTTGTGCTTTGTCTGAGTTTGTTCTTGCCACATTTCTGTAATCAGTATGCTATTTGCTAGGAGTTTTGAGTAGATACCTCCAATCAGGTTAAGGAACTTCCTTTCTCTCTCCAGCTGGCTGAGGATTTTTATCATGAATGAATTTGAAATTCATCAGCCCATTAATATGTTAAAATTGCATTAAATGTATTAATTTGCAAATGTTAAACCATCCTTTCATTATGGAAATAAATCCAATTTAGATCTCATCATTTCTAAAAGACTTTTTAAAATGTTTTAGTTACTTACTTAAGCAATAGGAAAACGGGTGTTTGATTTCAAACGTTGCTGTTCTGTGGCTTTTATCTGATGAGCCGATTGAGAAACCCTGATGGGGCATTACCAGCGAGCAAGCAGCCACCTGACTTCCTGCCCCGCTGACCGCTCATCACAGGACCGGAGGCAGCCCTGCCCTCTGCCAGCCTTCTCGCTATGTGTGACATCAGGCAGCCAGAGATCAGGCCAGCGCCCGGGGCACTGCTGTCCTGGTGGCCGGCTCTGAGTCCTCCCTGCACTCACATGGGATGTCCAGCGCTGGAACTAACCTCCTGTCGGCACCCTCGTCACTCCTTAGGGAGCACACCTCATCTTTTTAAAAACAGCCACGGAAATGACAGCTGACACCCTGCCTTTCCAAAGGCTCAGCCCAGGAAAAAACAGAGCCGATCTGACTTCACACTCGAAGTCTGGAGATTTTCCAGGCTTAACATTTGGTGGCTGAGTTGAAGATGCTGGACTGTATAGAGCTATGTATCATATAAAATAAATGTAAAAATATGTTTAATGGCATTAGAAAGATGAGCAAGAATCAGAACATTATCAGTGGACAACTGACAGCTAAGATTTTCAGGCAGCAGGCGATTTTCTCCAAGTGGTCCTTTTCTTGTTAACACTTTTCTAAATTGAACAAGTAATACATGCCCGTGCTCCAAACACCAAACAGGGGCAAATTAGACAAATAAAGAGCAAGCTGCCTCCCACCCCCCCCCCTCATCTCCAAGTCTTTGTGAATGGCAGTGAACCTGGGAATGACTGTTTGCAGCTTCTCCCCATCATCCCAGAAATCAACAATGAACATTCAGAAGACACAGGGCACTTGATTGGTCGATCGGCAGGGAGGCTGGCAGCTAGATCAATAGTTCTGTCTCTTCATGCTAATCAGTTCTGTGTAAGTCTGAATTTAAGTTTAAATGTAAGTTTGTATAGTGGAATCTTCAAAATCATCCTTCTCAAAATTAAGAATGATTTACCACACCACGTTTGCCAAGAGCAGCTGACAGTTTCCATTACACTGATTAAATCCAAAGTTCCTAAGAGGATAAAATGAATGACTCCATAAATAAATTTACAGAAAGGTGAACCAGAAAAACCCAATGATCAGTCAAGATGTCACATTAACAAATTATTGTGTTATATAAAGTATGACCTCATAATGTTTTTTTTGTTTTTGTTTTTTGTAATGTGTAAATTTATGTTGGTACTTGTGGATCTCTCTTATCTCCATTAGGTTTTATAGTAATAAAATATTTTTAAATAAAATAGCTTTAAAAAAACTCACAGACACAGCCAACAATGATCACCAGGTGAAAGGGTAGGGGGAGGTTGAAGAGGGTAAAGGGGGAAAAATGGTGATGGAAGGACATTTGACTTGGGGTAGGGAACACACAGTACAATATATAGATAATGTATTATAGAATTGTACACCTGACACCTATATAATTTTATTAACCAATGTCACTCCAATAAATTCAATTTTTAGAAAATTAATAGAGACAAGGGAAAAATAGCTTTACATTTTTTAGTGCCTTTAACAGCACTTTTTCCTGCTTTTTTTTAATGAAGAGCCCTGCATTTCCAGTTTGCACCGGATCCTGCTTTTCCATTTTTACCTGCAAATTATGTCCCTGGCCCTGGTTGGAAGCTTGGCTGGGCTGTAAAGGGTTGCAGGCTCCCCGCAATGTGCCTGGACAGAGGCAGCTGGAAAGTTCTCGGGAGTTTGGCTGTGTCCCCTAGAAGGTGGGCCAGAAAGACATGAACTCAGAGCCTAGTGCCCTCTTACGGGACAGAGGCTGCAGGAGTCACCAGGTGAGTCTGGAGCCATCTTAAAGGAGCCACTGCCACCTCCAGTGACGCAGAAGACAGAGGCTGTGGAAGGGCGTGGGGGTGGGGTGGGGGAGAAGTTGGAAAGGAGCCCCAAGAGGTCACTCACCTCAGGTAGGCATGATGGAGGGTCTGGTGAGAGGCCTCTGAGTGGCCACAAATGGGACCCACGAGAGAGACGGACTTTGGGAGACATCTGGAGAGCTGCCCAGATGGAAAGTGTGAGGCAGGACAGAACCACATGGCCGTCGTGGTGGAGACGTCTCCCCTCTCCTGCTGATCCCATCTCCAGACTCCAACCCAGGAGAAGACGGAGGGAGAAAGAGGAGGTGGGGAAAGAGGAAAAGAAGAGCTCAGAGGGGTTGAATTCGCTTTGAGAGGGACATTTTCTCCTCTCCTGAAGGTCTTGAAAACAGGGGACCTGCCCACACCATAATTTCTGTAATTATGATTACAGAACAACAGTCTCCTTGAATCCCTGCACTGAGTTCATGTAAGAAACCAGTTACATGTGCACACCCATACACACATTTTCTAATAGAAATAGACCTTATGCTACCTTATTTCTTTCTATAGCAACACATGTCAGTGGTGGTTCTGTGCCGGTACCAGCAGGACGACTGTCTCATTCTTTCAGTGACTACACAGAATTGCACCTACAGGTGTGCCGCAATTAACGTGACCTGTCTTCTATCAACGGCATTTTGTTCTTCTTCAACCTTTTGCTGCAGGTGTGCAACTTTTCAAATCAGACAAAAATTCATTGACTTTTTTTAATATACACATCACTGAGAGAAAACAGAAAGGAACCCCATTTCTTGATTCCTTGATTTGTTTGTGAAAAATAACAAGGTTACTTTGCGTAGTGAACTCTTCACTGTTCCTAGTCTCTCCCCCTGCAACGTGTTGTGGTAATCTACCAACTGAGGGTAAGAGACACATGTCTTTGGGGTAACAGAGACTGGAGCCTGGTAGTCACCTCTCCATCACTGATTAACCTGGTGACCTTGGATACACCGTGTTAAGTTTCCTGAGCTTCCATTTCTTTGTCTATGAAATAAGGTTAATAATTCCTCCCTGGACGTGATCTAAAGAATAGAAATAATCTTTGGAGAATATGGAGCATGTAGTACATACTCAGGAACCACTTTTATTATCGATGGTTTCGTTTGCATTTGGATGCATCTGACTGCAACAAATTGTTAATTTGGGGGTTGCTTCTCTGTGGCTCATCACTCAGTATGCATCTTGGCTACCTTTGGCAATGACACAGTCATGAGGAATACAAATGTATTTTAATATTGAGCTAAGAAAGGATGTCGAAGAGGAAGATACAGTGTTTAAAGGCAATGTAGTTCAAAGGCAAGAAAGGTATTCTTCTCTATTACTATCGATCATTTGTTCTCAAATTGTGCTTCAAGGATGCCTGGGGCTACCCAAGAATCTCTTGGGGCATCGCTGAAGACAAAGCTATTTTCAAAATAATGCCAAGACGTTATTTGCCATTTTCACTCCCACTCACAGATGCACAGTGGGGATTTCTGAAGCCTGCGTGGCGTGTGATAGCAACACAGACTGAATGCACAACCAGCTGTGAGAATACAGCTGTTTTCTATTCAGCCAGACATTGAGCAGATTTGAAAAAGTGTAAAACAAACAGCCATTAGTACTGCATAGTTCATGGACACTTGGTGAGAATACTAATTCAGTTTGGACAACATTATTTGTGAAGCGAGGCAAAAGGAATAACACGTATGAGAAGTTAATGGAAAGATCATGGTGGTGCGATTTTTTTAAGTGATGGTTTCTGTGTGAGTCAATCAGTCGGCAAATATTTCCTGAGCCCCTGTTATGTGCCCGAGCACTGTGCTGGATGCTGGGAGAAGACACAGGAGACCTTGACCTTGTTGAGCTTACTTGCTGGATGGAGGAGACAGGCAGGGAACACACCGACAAGGAAAAGAACAAGGTGGTTTCAGGTGGGGGGAACTGCACTGAAGGAAATACACAGGCTACTGAGACAGGAATGTGGCTGTAGGATCACGGGAAATTGCATGCCCAGCTCGAGAGGCCCGAAGGGTCTATACTGCGCTCATGGATTCCAGTGAAAGAAGAATGGAGGGTAACCAACCTGCCACTCAAACAGTGAACGCATAAAACGGTGCAAAACAGGCGATTTCTGTC